TGTGTCAACCGAACCCGACCCTTAAAAGCCAACGTTCAAATAACAAATACTTGGGACCTATAAACTAGTTTATAGGTCCCTTCAAATATACTTTTCTCGTAAAATAAAGGCATCTATTTTGTATACACAAATAGATGCTATTATTTATACAGAGAAAAATGACACAAAACTCAATATAGAATTTATATTTATTTATTGTGGCGAGTATTGGCCGTGGCACAGTACAAAATTGTGGGACGCCATTTCAATTGGGCGAACCCACCAAATTCAAACATCAACAATGTGTGTTTCTTTTTTCTAACCGTCCCGGGTTAACCGCGGAGGGTCAGCACACATACAAATTGTTCAAACCAAATCAATCAATCAATCATTCAATCAATCAATAAGTCATATCTCAAATTCCAAATATCAAGCATATCAACTTATTTTATCAAATCTTGTATATCATATATCATTAATATCTCAAACTTCATAGATCAAACATCTCAAACTTCAAATATCAACATTTTTCATATTTCAAACCTGTACGATGTAGTACAGTTCTAAAGTATATATTACTGTCACCAAGAGTAAGCTTATTAGCTTAGTTTACACTAGCATTAGCATTTCAACAAGGTGACAGTTTATTACAAGTTTCACACAAACATTCAGTTATCAGTTGACTTGGTGTGCGCAGACGCCACATGGCTGCAAGTTGGCACAGCTTGCAGTCACCCCACACATTGGGGGGAAGCAAAGCAAGTCAACTGGACCACGACCAATACTGCCAAGACCCCCCTTCCCAGCTAGATCCTTGCATACATCTTGATTCCTAGATGTGCATATCCTTCAGCAGACTTAGACTAAAGTATTTTGAATTTCCCTTAATTTAGAAAAGGTTTTACAACACATAAGGCAATCAAATCTTACCAAATGTGATGTATCTCGCCTAGTTCCTCAATGCCTAATAAAGCTTTGTCTTGTAGAAACTTACCTGTCTATTAATTCCTTCTAAATGTCTGAGCAACTTTGCAATGCTCTTTACCACCATAATTTTTCGTTTCCCATTATTCAAGGCAAGTTAGATGTAAATGGTTGTAGTTAATCAAAATTAAAGATCTGGGTTTTTTTAAAACCAAATAGGGGGAGTTTCACTCAAGAGAACTACCTATATCATAATTCCTGTTTAAAAATTGCTAGGAAAGCCATGTCCTGCTGTTTGAAAAAACCAAATTTTATATCTCCGAAGGCGACTCATTCACTCTCTAATTAGCCAATTGAAGCAGAGCAATTTGAAATTCTTAATCATATTCAATTACAAGAAGGTACAACACTATTTAGTGATGGTTACAAATGCCTGTAAAAGACAATACTATCATTTTGGAAGCATACTGGTCTTGTTTAATGATATTCCTACAAAAGATACATTAGCTGAAACATGTAACAAATTTACTAGTATTCCAATTTGTATATCATACTTACCAGTTAAGCTGCCAGGAAGATATTTGGCACCTTATAGATGCCATTTTCAAACTAGGATTTTTTGGCTGCAATTTCATTACCCATGCTTGCAATACTTGTGTACTTGACTAATCTTATTTATGTGCTAATTGACTAAGTCCCTTCCCTCTTACATAGATTCTTTCAATAAATATTATTAATGCCTGTGATACATGTATGTGCATCTGAGCTCTACCGCTCTATATGACCACATTCTTCCACTGTGTAGCCCAAAATGCAAAGCAAAGTCTAAAATTCTTAAAGGTATAGATGCTTGATTATTAATTACATCAAATGGAAATATTTTATTTTATTTATCTATTTATTATATGCAATGAGCCTGAATACACTTATTACATGTACTGCTATCAATATGTGCTTGATCCTTCTTAATAGTATTTTGATTAAAAAACATACACCAAGTGAAATTTGTTTTAAATGCAAGCCCAAGGGACAATGCGCAGTCCTAAGTTTTAAAGTCCACATAATAAGAACAGAGTTACAAAATAAAAGCACCCTGTGAGGAACTTTAATAGCCCAAACATCTTAAAAATGAAGTCAAATGCACATTCAAGGTTGAGCAATCTGTATAAAAATCCAAAAACATATAAACTTTCTGTGAGAACTCTTTTGAAAATTAATTGATACATTGTTAGGGATTTAAGGAACTTGCTTAATTGTGTCACTTCTTGTGTGTAAATATAACCAAATAGTTTAAATAAGTTTATTTGCAACATACATTCTGTTGCATTTATTATAAGTTAACTTGGATTCTAGAAGTAATTGTAATTTAACTTGGTATTTCTAACACTGTTATCTTAAGTAACCTAAACTGATCTGGAAGGTCATGTCTACCTACATCTCAAATATCCAATATCTCTACTGAAAGCTTTTCCTAATCCCAAACGTTTAAGAAAATGAGATTTGACTATTCCTTTTTTGCTTTAATTATTAAAAACCAAAATATATCCATTTATAAATGATTACAAAACTTTCTTGACATTTCTTGGATTACATATTGCAATTTCCAACCTTTCATTTCCACTTTATTGGATCAAAACAAAACTATCCTAGTAATTCCAGTCTTAGGCAATGGATGGTTTATGGTTATATATAAGTAATTTGTATTTTCCTTTTCATTCAAGAATTAATATGAATTGATACATTATGTTGTTTAACAATGAAGATGCCCCCCCCCCCTTTCTCATTTTCACCTTTGTATTACTATATTTCAATGATCATTTTGTTTCCAATTGAATAACTAGAAAATACTATCAATGACCAGAAAGCTCCAACAAATACAGACTTGAGAAAGGCATTTTCCAGAGGATCATTGCTCCTCGACCCCAAATTTAGATCTCTTTTCTTCTTGAAGTCAACTCTCATGAGTAGGATGCCCAATTTCAGTGTAAATCTATAAAATTTATGATATGCAATTGATCTTATCACTTGCCTTATAAATATCAGGGGCTTTCACAACATTAGATAGTAATATTTCATGAATACAAAGAACTAAACTCTAGGAAAATTAGGTGCATTTAAATAACTATCACAAAACTACTCTGGAAAAAGATATGTACTTCATTCTCCTTTTTATTTACATTCATCACAAACTTGAGATATATACTATGTCAGCCTGAAAAATGTAGGCATTAATGCCTAATAGTTTTGAGCCATGTTGAAATGCCTAACAGTTCTGAGTCATGCTGTAAGTAATGCCTAATAATTCTGAGCCATGTTGTAAGTAATGCCTAATAATAGTTCTGAGCCAGGTTGAGCCATGTTGTACGTCATGCCTAGTAGTTTTCAGCCATATTATCATAATGCCCCATGGGGATCCGGGTTAGAATAGGTCCTCAGTACCCCCTTGCTTGTCGTAAAAGGCGACTAAATGGGGCGGTCCTTCGGATGAGACCGTATAAACCGAGGCCCCGTGTCGCAGCAGGTGTGGCACGATAAAGATCCCTCCCTGCTCAATGGCCATGAGTGCCGAGCATAGGCCTAAATTTGCAGCCCTTCACCGGCAATGGTGACGTCTCCATATCAGTGAAATCAATCATAATGCCTAATTGTTCTGAGCCATATTTTAGATAATGCCTTAAGCCAATTAGTTCTTAGCCATGCTTTATATAATGCCTAATATTCCTTGGATTTAAAAGACTCACCAAATTCTATTCCTACAATCAAACAAAACGTTGCAACTGTTTACATTACATACCTGAATATCTATAAAAGAAAAATTGAATATAATCTCACAAACAGAAATTTAATGAAAATGTGCAATGGGTCTGAAACATTCTTCTTATGTTACATATGAAAAAATTAAGCTGCTGTATTATCTGCACCTAACATTACAAGAGCATATCAAAACAATCTATTGGGTTATTTTGACCGTAGTTTTAAACAAATTTCAGGCAACTGCAAGTCCTTATTTTGAGAGATATCAATGTAAAATTTTATGATTTGAATGTAGATCTGCAGCTATTTTTGGGAGATTATTTTATTGCAACCTAATTTTTGATTTACTGGTTGTTATATTTAATTTTATTTTGTTTGCCGCTTGATTTCTGGTACTTAGTTTTTTCCAGTTAGCCCCCCTCTTCTCTTTTAAAATTCTTTTTCAAAGTCTTTTTTTTTTCCCCTATAATCTTGAAATTTAACATTTCTTAAACAAATAGTAATAGAAGCAACATCAAAAGCTATGCTGGCAGACATTGCTTATAATTTGGTGTCAATCTACAGTGGAAAAGACAATTCAAGTATACATGTATACACACTCAACTAATTAATGCAATACAAAGGTGATTGATGTACCTGATATACTGGACTGTTAATCTGTGATTATACTTATTTCAATGTCTGGTTTTCCAAACGATTTGAAGATAATTTTCAATGCCTTTCTTTGACTTGTAGTCTTGTATTTGGGTCCATGTCCACGAGAAGTTCCGACCGAGTTTCCTTATTGTTGTTCACATGCATAGGGCCTATTCTATTTTGCTTTTGCCGGGTTTCGAAGCAGTATGAAACAAAAAGAGAGTTATTAATGTTAATAACCAACATTACATCACTGTAAAACAATACAAAGGTATAAGTAAACGATTTTTTAGTATAACCGCGTGCGCGTCGTCTGCTTTGTAAAGTGTTTGAATCCAATCTCATCCGTCATAATTAATGCACATCAATAGTAATAATAGCGTTAAAATGGTTGAGAACAATGTATAAATGAAAAATCATACAAATTTTAAAGTTACAAAACAAAATTTCATGTATTTTATTGCAAGCAATAATATTGTTATGCGTCTTTACCTTCGAAAGTTCAGGAGAAAGGAATGTGAAGATCAAACCCGACCTTTTATATACTACACTTGATGTGTCAACCGAACCCGACCCTTAAAAGCCAACGTTCAAATAACAAATACTTGGGACCTATAAACTAGTTTATAGGTCCCTTCAAATATACTTTTCTCGTAAAATAAAGGCATCTATTTTGTATACACAAATAGATGCTATTATCTCGTTATTTAGGAATATATACACAACATCAATAAGAAGAATACAAAGGACGCACTATTACCAGAAGTAGAATAAAAAGTAACAGAGCAATGGAAACAAGACTTCCAATGATCTCCCCAATTAAGTGCTGAGTTATCCTCTGGTAATAGGGTTGTTTGGTTATTTCCTGCTGTAGTGTCTCTAACAAAAATATAGTTAAAAATAGTTGACTTTAGTTAATTATATTGATAACTTTGACACTATAACACTTTGATTAAGTAGAATGATAACTATAAAAACGTTGACTAACCAAAGTGATAATTATCAAAACTTTGATTTACTATCATGGTTAAAACTTTGCTTTACTATAGTAATGCCTCTGAAAACTATAGTGATCACTTTGAAAACTTTAATTCCCTATAGTGATAATTTTGACACTTTGATTTAGTATAGTTAACTATAGTATTTTTGTAAGAGGTTTTACATTTCATAGTTTGTAATACATCCCAGAATAAATTCTTCTGCTCATAAATTCTTCTGCTCATACACCCCCGTGGGGATCCGGGTTAGAATAGGACTTCAGTTCCCCCTTGCTTGTCGTAAAAGGCGACTAAATGGGGCGGTCCTTCGGATGAGACCGTATAAACCGAGGCCCCGTGTCACAGCAGGTGTGGCACGATAAAGATCCCTCCCTACTCAATGGCCCTGAGTGCCGAGCAAAGGCCTAAATTTGCAGCCCTTCACCGGCAATGGTGACGTCTCCATATCAGTGAAATATTCTGGAGAGGGACGATAAACAGTATACAATCAATCAATCAATCTGCTCATACACTAAACAATAATGCTAACGCACCACAATATGTAAGTAATGTTTTACTTTTCAAAATTTGTTTATAATGTATTTAATAAATTATTATATTACTTGATTTCATAGACGAAAAGGAATGAAAATCGTGTTCATGCGTTTTTGGATGAATAAATTTCTAATTTTTCTTTGCTCTCTTGTGCTTTATACTTATACTAATAAGAATACCAGGGGAAAATATAGGGTATGCGGCTTTGATCCTAGAAGAGCGTGCTAAAACAAAGAGTATGGTGTCTGAAGACGATTCTCTTAGAAAGATTTGAAAAAATTAAAACAATTAAAAATATATATTTTTCTGGTTAAGAATTGTTGCAAATACATAAGTAAACATAAAAATGTTTACTATTGATATGCAATTTTGGCAGTTTCAAATTCACAATATGTAAATTATCGGTGTGTATTTAACGTTTGTAAACGGGTTGTGGATACAGTGCGGTTTCATAACAGAGTCTATCATAGTTTGTTTTCGTAAAAAGTCGATAATTATTATATACATTCTAAATTTTTATTATATGTTTTATTTTTCTAGAAAGTTGGAGTGCAACTAATCCGTCCGTAAATTCACAAAATTGACACAAAAATCTCCAAACATATAGAGCAAATACGCTACATGGAATAAAAAGAAGGTCGGGTAGGAATCCGAATTTCTTCTACTTTTGTATGCAATAACACGAGAGGGCATTAAACCATGCGACAATAAATTAAGAAGCTCAAAATACTCATGTCAAGTCAACAGCTAAAATCTTGTTTTGAAAAAAAAACAGGTCAACTTCGTCAAATACTCTGTCTTTTAGAGAACTACATTTCTTTCATCAAATTTAATTATTTGTCAATATCCTTGCTTAGCTCATGAAACATTTCAGTTCTTGCTAGCTGTACAGATATAAAATATAATATTTTTTTTAATCTAAAAAGCGATGCATTTTTTTTAATTTACATTGTCTACGGAATAAAAACATATGACTGTGTAATTTATATACATCAGACAGATATGTATATTTTTTATCTCTTTGCATTACTATTTGAAGCAATATAATTTTCTTATTCTAATTCTGATTTCATTTTTCGTGCATGCACATCCTGATGAATCTGATGGACATTGAATTTAAATATACAGTAGATATATATATATAACTCTAAAGAATTGGATTTTTTGTGTGTCCTATCGGGTCGAGTCTATAACATAACCTAGTCTTGGATTCCGGGAATATTATTTCCGGTATGGTTTTATGTAATAGAACACATATACGATCCCGATGCAATATACTTTTGTAAACATGTTGATGTTGATGTGTGGCAACTAATGGTCGATTGTCAATCGTTAATCGGAGACATAATATTATGACATCCAAGCGAAAATATGATTTCACCAAGTTTGTGGTATTTAATAGTAAACATAATAAATTTCATGACCTATTAGTATCACTTCTATACATAAGCATGCCAAAGTACAACTAGTGACCTACTTTAGTCTTTAGTATTTGTCATGTGCACGTACTGCAGAATATTATTTACTTGATAAAGTATGTTAATCTACCGAGACAAAAAGAAATTTGTTATAAGGAATCCAGCCCATATAACGCTAGGTAATTAGTCTCTAAATGTGAATCTGGATAAAAGGAATTAGGTCCTAGAAATAAAATAACGTTCAACGAGCAATATATGATGATATAGGTGTTCAACATAACTTAATAAAATGTTCAATTGTGAAATAACTCATAAAAAAACATTCATCGGAAACTAAAATCCGATACACAGGGAAACCTAATAATCCAGTCATGGTTCAACAGATCCCAGTCACCGAACAGTGTAACCAATCCACTGAACTACATATCCCAATCACTATTCAACATTACACAGTCATGGTTGAACATAAACAAGCCTCTAAACTACTTAAACCAGTCACAGTTCCACATAAACAAGTCTCTAAACTACATAACCCAGTCACGGTTCTACATAAACAAGTCACTAAACTACATAATCCAGTCATGGTTCAATACAAACAAGTCTCTAAACTACATAATCCAGTCACGGTTCTACATAAACAAGTCTCTAAACTACCTACTCCAGTCACAGTTCTTCATAAACAAGTCTCTAAACTACATAATCCAGTCACGGTTCTTCATAAACAAGTCTCTAAACTACATAACCAAGTCACGGTTCTACATAAACAAGTCTCTAAGCTACATAATCCAGTCATGGTTTTCATAAACAAGTCTCTAAACTACATAACCCAGTCACGGTTCTACATAAACAAGTCTCTAAACTACATAATCCAGTCACGGTTCTACATAAACAAGTCTCTAAACTACATAATCCAGTCATGGTTTTACATGAACAAGTCTCTAAACTACATAATCCAGTCACGGTTCTTCATAAACAAGTCTCTAAACTACATAATCCAGTCACGGTTCTACATAAACAAGTCTCTAAACTACATAATCCAGTCACGGTTCTTCATAAACAAGTCTCTAAACTACATAACACAGTCATGGTTCTACATATACACGTCTTTAAACTACATAATCCAGTCATGGTTCTTCATAAACAAGTCTCTAAACTACATAATCCAGTCACGGCTCTTCATAAACAAGTCTCTAAACTACATAATCCAGTCATGGATTTACATAAACAAGTCTCTAAACTACATAATCCAGTCATGGTTCTTCATAAACAAGTCTCTAAACTACATAATCCAGTCACGGTTCTACATAAACAAGTCTCTAAACTACATAATCCAGTCACAGCTCTTCATAAACAAGTCTCTAAACTGCATAATCCAGTCATGGATTTACATAAACAAGTCTCTAAACTACATAATCCAGTCACGGTTCCACATAAACAAGTCTCTAAACTATATAATCCAGTCACGGTTCTTCATAAACAAGTCTCTAAACTACATAACTTAGTCACGGTTCTACATAAACAAGTCTCTAAACTACATAATCCAGTCACGGTTCTACATAAACAAGTCTCTAAACTACATAACCCAGTCATGGATTTACATAAACAAGTCTCTAAACTACATAACCCAGTCATGGTTCTTCATAAACAAGTCTCTAAACTACATAATCCAGTCATGGTTCTACATAAACAAGTCTCTAAACTACATAATCCAGTCAAGGTTCTTCATAAACAAGTCTCTAAACTACATAATCCAGTCACGGTTCTACATAAACAAGTCTCTAAACTACATAACCCAGTCATGGTTCAACATAAACAAGTCTCTAAACTACATAATCCAGTCACGGTTCTTCATAAACAAGTCTCTAAACTACATAATCCAGTCACGGTTCTTCATAAACAAGTCTCTAAACTACATAACCAAGTCACGGTTCTACATAAACAAGTCTCTAAGCTACATAATCCAGTCATGGTTTTCATAAACAAGTCTCTAAACTACATAACCCAGTCACGGTTCTACATAAACAAGTCTCTAAACTACATAATCCAGTCACGGCTCTACATAAACAAGTCTCTAAACTACATAATCCAGTCACGGTTCTTCATAAACAAGTCTCTAAACTACATAATCCAGTCACGGTTCTACATAAACAAGTCTCTAAACTACATAATCCAGTCACGGTTCTTCATAAACAAGTCTCTAAACTACATAACACAGTCATGGTTCTACATATACACGTCTTTAAACTACATAATCCAGTCATGGTTCTTCATAAACAAGTCTCTAAACTACATAATCCAGTCACGGCTCTTCATAAACAAGTCTCTAAACTACATAATCCAGTCTTGGATTTACATAAACAAGTCTCTAAACTACATAATCCAGTCATGGTTCTTCATAAACAAGTCTCTAAACTACATAATCCAGTCACAGTTCTACATAAACAAGTCTCTAAACTACATAATCCAGTCACAGCTCTTCATAAACAAGTCTCTAAACTGCATAATCCAGTCATGGATTTACATAAACAAGTCTCTAAACTACATAATCCAGTCACGGTTCCACATAAACAAGTCTCTAAACTATATAATCCAGTCACGGTTCTTCATAAACAAGTCTCTAAACTACATAACTTAGTCACGGTTCTACATAAACAAGTCTCTAAACTACATAATCCAGTCACGATTCTACATAAACAAGTCTCTAAACTACATAACCCAGTCATGGATTTACATAAAGAAGTCTCTAAACTACATAACCCAGTCATGGTTCTTCATAAACAAGTCTCTAAACTACATAATCCAGTCATGGTTCTACATAAACAAGTCTCTAAACTACATAATCCAGTCAAGGTTCTTCATAAACAAGTCTCTAAACTACATAATCCAGTCACGGTTCTACATAAACAAGTCTCTAAACTACATAACCCAGTCATGGTTCTACATAAACAAGTCTCTAAACTACATAATCCAGTCACGGTTCTACATAAACAAGTCTCTAAACTACATAATCCAGTCACGGTTCTACATAAACAAGTCTCTAAACTACATAATCCAGTCATGGTTCTTCATAAACAAGTCTCTAAACTACATAACCCAGTCATGGTTCTACATAAACAAGTCTCTAAACTACATAATCCAGTCATGGTTTTACATCAACAATTAAGTCTCTAAACTACATAATCCAGTCATGGTTTTACATAAACAAGTCTCTAAACTACATAATCCAGTCACGGTTCTTCATAAACAAGTCTCTAAATTACATAACCCAGTCACGGCTCTACATTAACATGTCGCTTAAAACTACATAATCCAGTCATGGTTTAATATAAACCAATCTCGTAACTACCTAACCCAGTCACGGTTCAAGTGGTATCCAAGGTCCAGTTTGTTACATTCCTTCTTCTTAAAGAAGTCGGTTCACTTTCTGCATAAAATGGCCCTGTAGATATGCCAATGTAATTGATCATCACTTGATTTTCTATTTGCAGAATTAAAATAAAATAGAGACTTTATGCTTTCATATCCTATTAAAAAAAGTCTCATCGAAGTCCATGTATTGGAGAACTGGCTTTATGAAATGGCAATGTTCTTGAATTTTGATGTAAACAGGTATAATTGAGTACTTCCAGTGAAGAAAAATAATATGAGCGCACCCTCTGATCTAAAAAGTAAAACATGTCCATGAATCCTCAGAAACAGTTCTATCATTTACTAGGTGCATATTTTAGATCAGAAGTTGCGCTCTATATCAAATATTAAAAAATAACTCAAAAATTGGCCGTTTTTATAGACTTTTTCTGAATATGAGGAAATTGACGCACTTCGTGACGTCATAATGCATTGACTTGCCAGCAAATGACGTCATTTTTTATAGGATCGCAGTCACCAAAGATCTAAGCGATATTTTAATGCATTGTTAACTAAAACTATGCAACTTCAGTTTTTCAGGAATTCACAAGGCCAATTTAGGCAAAGATGAACCTTGTTCTTTTAAAGGTCTTCACCCTTGACATAACCTAAGTTCTTTGTAGCCTCTGGCAGGAATTTCACCTGCAAGTCCAGGAGTGGTCAACGACACCAAATCTGTAAAGTAGAGAAGAAAATGCAGCGGACTAGACCAAGATTCGAACCCAGGCCTCCTGAAAAACTGGTTAGGTGCTCTACCAACTGAAGTATCTGGCCACCGAAGATCGAACCTGGCTGACCGCCACATTCCTCCCTACTTTAAAGTCTTTTACTCTCCAAAGACCCAAACCCAGGCTCATCTTAGCAGGTCTTTCACATTTCAATTCCAAGGCATGGCTCCAAATGTAAAGGTAGAGGAGAAAATGCTGCAGACCAGACCGGGCCCCAAGATCATGAAGCATCTTAAGCTTAAGTCATCAAATGTCTTAGATTCTGAAATTTTTTAGAGGTCAAGCAGCCCAAAATGAAAATGCTTTCCTATTTTGTATCATTGGTCTGCTGTTGTATGCAAATTATGAGTTTCCTTTAACAAGTTTTAAAGATTTTATAGTAATTTGAAATTTTGACTTAAGTCTAAGTTTGTTTCATGATCCCGGGGCCGGGATTCAACCTGGGCCCCCTGAAACTCTTGATAGGTTCTCTACCAACTGAGCAATCTGGCCATGGGTTATCGAGCTTGGCTGACCGCCACAGTTACATGCAATTAAAAAGCTTAATTTGCAAGCATTGTTACTAAACTAAACCAAAATACTTGTATTCAATCTAATCATACCGCTTTATCATTTCGGATTTACCAGTATCTGCAGCAATTGGGTCCAGTCAAGAGAACTAGAAAACTCATCAAGATAACCAGAAATATGTCCATAGGACATGAATGCTCTACTGAGGGTATACTAGTGATGCAAAGATAAAACATACGTATTCAAAGATTACGAAGCTAACCTCGAGGAATGTTATTGGTTTAAGTAATGCAAATCGAGCATCATATTTTCTTAACACTTGGTAATTATTCTGACAACAATATTCAAGCATGTTCTGTTTAAATAAGTCTAGAAGTTCATTAGAGAATGAATGTGCTCCAAAAACTTTAACCTGATCACTCATGTGGAAAAAATAAGTCAGATCCAGCATCCGAAGCAAGTCTGGTAGTGTCCATCTCTAGATGCATCATCCATGCAAGTTTGGTCCAGGAAGGGCTAATAGTTACTTGGGAATGGACTTGCTCCTAAAACTTTAACATGGGACGCTGACGCTAACGGCGAAGCCGGGGCTATAGCAAAAGCTCATCTCGACTTCGTTTTCATCACTTAATAACATCAAGTACTCATATACCTATATGTAAACTATGGTTCAAATAAGAATTACAAGTAAAGCAATCTGGAGTGCATTTAATTTGACTGAACTCAAAATTTACAGGGTTTATGAGTTTATCTTCATTAACCAGACACACTGGATCAGCTCTGATAGAGTCCATTTGTATGTCATAACAATTAAATTTCATCAGATACTGATCAAACAAGAAATCTGTGAGCCAATGCTCACTAGTAATACCCCCGCTCTGATGTAAATAAGCACTATCATGTTAATATACACTTACAGGCAGATCCACAGAAAAATATGAAGTTGACATAAGATTCATATCAAAATTAATTCCACCATATGGCATGCCTAAACAAAGAGTGTAGTACAATTTCAAACATCTGCTATATATAGTTAATGAGAAAATTTGTTATGTATGAAACTGATGGATGCACAGACAAACAGGAAGTTGACATCGAATTTGAATAAAAATGTATCCCACTATATGGCATGCCTCAGAGAAGATTGTGTTAACATTTCAATTAAGCATCCAAGAAAAGGAATTGGTGAGAAAACTGCGACGAAAATTTGTTACCAACAGACACACAGACAGGAACACAAGGGTAAAACAGTATACCCCCCTCTCCTTCGGAGCAGAGGTATAAATATATACCTGTAAACCATATAGCAATATGTAGCAAACTTGTAAAATATATAATTTATACAGTTACTGATGAAGAGCAAAACAAATTTGTTAACTCAGTCAATCAAAACATAAAACTGCTATTTCACTGGGTATAGAAGTTCTTCGGCTTTTCTATATATGTGATGTTCTTGACAATGGAATTGGAAGCTGCGGTAATGATTCTTGCCTAACAAGCAACACATCTTTAAAATATCAAACTTCTTCATTAAAACTCTGTCCTGTCCTAAAAGAGAATGAAAATAAATAAGGAATAAGGAAATAATGAAATTCTTTTGAATATTAGTCATTTTAATAGCACTTCAGATGTGACTAATTAAATTATGGATATAAAGACTGGTCTCCACATATGGTTTACCTTAAATGTTAATAAGTTGATTGGTTATCAAAGAATAACAAATTCACTTTACAATATGCATATCTATTTTCTTTATGGTAATTTATTCTGAAAAAATAAAATTTATCATACCCATCTTCCAGTGATGTCAAAACCTTTCCATTTTGGCAGTTTTTCAAACTATAAAGGTAACATCCTGGAGAACTGAATATACCCCTAAAATCAGTGAAAAAACAAAAAAAAAGCTCATTGAAAAATGCTTAACATGATTAAGTCAATGGAATAGGTTTTGTGTGTTGAAAAGGGGAAGTGGAATTAGATTGTGTGCTTTTTTAATTTATGCAATATACAGTGTATCACTGGGGGAGTTACCAAAGATCCAGATCCCGCAGGCCAGGAATATTTCCTAACATGAAGTTAAGAGAAATAGTCCTGGTGGAGGCGATACAGATACATTAAATCATTATTCTCAAGATATTCAAGATAAAATCTTAAAAAAACAAAACAAATTTGTTTGGGACTCAGCCTTAATGATGCTTGGATATTTCTTTGACTACCTGTGGCTTTATTGACCTTTACATTTGAACTTACTTTGTGCCCCCAAACTAAAATAAGACCAATCATGGCTTTGCTGTCCAAACATTGATTTGCCATTCTGGCCCACCCTATCCCTGAGGGTCATGATTTGAGCAATTGAGCTATTGACTTGTGAATTTTAGGGGTGGGCAAGTGAAATTTTATCGATCACTTGCCCATGGGCAAGTGACTTAAAAAAAGCCATATGATCTACTTAGTATTTGTCTTCCTCTTCAATTTAAAAGGACAAGTGCCTTAAAAATCTGTCAGTCAGTCCTTGATTATATTAAATGTATTGATCATATTTATAAAAGCACCTTTTATAATTTCATTTTTTTACCTCTCCTTTCTTGAGACTTCTATGATATTTCACAGTCCCTTAACTGTACATAAAAAATTTTTCTATATTTTCTGCAGGTGAGACCTTTAGGTCTTCTTTAAGTTTCACGACCACTTTCTTCAGAGACTTCTGGTGATGAGGTTTGTTTTCTACACCTGAAAAATATATCCATAAAATTTCATGTTGTTATACATGTTACATGTATTCAATAATTAATGAAACAAATAAATACATATCAAATAGCTTGAAAACTTTCAAACATGTTATATATTAATTTTAAAAAAACGAGCCATTCTGCACTAATAAACAATTTTGTTGACATGTGTATTCAGACTACAATAAAAGATCTGGGTTAGGTTGTTTAGAGACTTGCTTATGTAGAACCGTGACTGGGTAAGGTAGTTTACAGACTTGGTCATGTTTAACCGTGAAAGGGTTAGGTAGTTTACAGACTTGGTTATGTAGAACCATGACTGGGTTATGTAGTTAAGAGACTTGTTTATGTAGAGCCGTGACTGGATTATGTAGTTTAGAGACTTGTTTATGTGGAACCGTGACTGGATTATGTAGTTTATAGACTTGTTTATGAAGAACCGTGACTGGATTATGTAGTTTAGAGACTTGGTGATGTTGAACTGTGACTGGATATGTAGTTTATAGACTTGTTTATGTAGAACCATGACTGGATTATGTAGATTTTGTTTATGTAGAACCATGACTGGATTATGTAGTTTAGAGACTTGTTTATGTAGAACCATGACTGGATTATGTAGTTTAGAGATTTGCTGATGTAGAACCGTGACTGGATTATGTAGTTTAGAGACTTGTTGAGTCTTGTTTATGTAAAACCGTGACTGGATTATGAAGTTTAGAGACTTGTTTATGAAGAACCGTGACTGGGTTATGTAGTTTAGAGACTTGTTTATGTAGAACCGTGACTGGATTATGTAGTTTAGAGACTTTTTATGTAGAACCGTGACTGGATTATGTAGTTTAGAGACTTGTTTATGTTGAACCGTGACTGGATTATGTAGTTTATAGACTTGTTCATGAATAACCGTGACTGGATTATGTAGTTTAGAGACTTGGTGATGTTGAACCGTGACTGGATTATGTAGTTTATAGACTTGTTTATGTAGAACCATGACTGGATTATGTAGATCGAGACTTGTTTATGTAGAACCGTGACTGGATTATGTAGTTTAGAGACTTGTTTATGAAGAACCTTGACTGGGTTATGTAGTTTAGAGACTTGTTTATGTAGAACCGTGACTGGATTATGTAGTTTAGAGACTTGTTTATGTAGAACCGTGACTGGATTATGTAGTTTAGAGACTTGTTTATGTAGAACCGTGACTGGATTATGTAGTTTAGAGACTTGGTGATGTTGAACCGTGACTGGATTATGTAGTTTATAGACTTGTTTATGTAGAACCATGACTGGATTATGTAGATCAAGACTTGTTTATGTAGAACCATGACTGGATTATGTAGTTTAGAGACTTGTTTTTGCAGAACCGTGACTGGATTATGTAGTTTAGAGACTTGTTTATGAAGAACCGTGACTGGATTATGTAGTTTAGAGATTTGTACATGAAGAACCATGACTGGGTTATGTAGTTTAGAGACTTCTTTATGTAGAACCGTGACTGGATTATGTAGTTTAGAGACTTGTTTATGAAGAACCATGACTGGGTTATGTAGTTTAGAGACTTGTTTATGTAGAACCATGACTGGATTATGTAGTTTAGAGACTTGTTTATGAAGAACCGTGACTGGATTATGTAGTTTAGAGACTTGTTTATATAGAACCGTGACTGGATTATGTAGTTTAGAGACTTGGTGATGTTGAACCGTAACTGGATTAGTTAGTTTATAGACTTGGTGATGTTGAACCGTGACTAGGTTAGATAGTTTATAGACTTGGTGATGTTGAACCGTGACTGGGTTAGGTAGTTTACAGACTTGGTTATGTAGAACCGTGACTGGGTTAGGTAGTTTACAGACTTGGTTATATAGAACCGTGACTGGGTTAGGTAGTTTACCGATTTGATTATGTAGAACCGTGACTGGGTTAGGTAGTTTATAGACTTTATGTCGAACCGTGACTGGGTTAGGTAGTTTAGAGACTTGTTTATGTAGAACTGTGACTGGATTATGAAGTTTAGAGACTTGTTTATGTAGAACCATGACTGGATTATGTAGTTTAGAGACTTGTTTATGTAGAACCGTGACTGGATTATGTAGTTTAGAGACTTGTTTATGTAGAACCGTGACTGGATTATGTAGTTTATAGACTTGTTTATGAATAACCGTGACTGGATTATGTAGTTTAGAGACTTGGTGATGTTGAACCGTGACTGGATTATGTAGTTTATAGACTTGTTTATGTAGAACCATGACTGGATTATGTAGATCGAGACTTGTTTATGTAGAACCGTGACTGGATTATGTAGTTTACAGACTTGTTTATGAAGAACCATGACTGGATTATGTAGTTTAGAGACTTGTTTATGTAGAACCGTGACTGGATTATGTAGTTTAGAGACTTGTTTATGAAGAACCATGACTGGGTTATGTAGTTTAGAGACTTGTTTATGTAGAACCGTGACTGGATTATGTAGTTTAGAGACTTGTTTATGTAGAACCGTGGCTGGATTATGTAGTTTAGAGACTTGGTGATGTTGAACCGTGACTGGATTATGTAGTTTATAGACTTGTTTATGTAGAACCATGACTGGATTATGTAGATCAAGACTTGTTTATGTAGAACCATGACTGGATTATGTAGTTTAGAGACTTGTTTATGTAGAACCGTGACTGGATTATGTAGTTTAGAGACTTGTTTATGAAGAACCGTGACTGGATTATGTAGTTTAGAGACTTGTACATGAAGAACCATGACTGGGTTATGTAGTTTAGAGACTTGTTTATGTAGAACCATGACTGGATTATGTAGTTTAGAGACTTGTTTATGAAGAACCGTGACTGGATTATGTAGTTTAGAGACTTGTTTATATAGAACCGTGACTGGATTATGTAGTTTAGAGACTTGGTGATGTTGAACAGTAACTGGATTAGTTAGTTTATAGACTTGGTGATGTTGAACCGTGACTGGGTTAGATAGTTTATAGACTTGGTGATGTTGAACCGTGACTGGGTTAGGTAGTTTACAGACTTGGTTATGTAGAACCGTGACTGGGTTAGGTAGTTTATAGACTTGGTTATGTAGAACCATGACTGGGTTAGGTAGTTTATAGACTTGGTGATGTTGAACCATGACTGGGTTAGGAAGTTTACAGACTTGGTTAGGTTGAACTGTGACTGGGTTAGGTAGTTTACAGACTTAGTTATATAGAACCGTGACTTGGTTAGGTAGTTTACCGATTTGATTATGTAGAACCGTGACTGGGTTAGGTAGTTTATAGACTTTATGTCGAACCGTGACTGGGTTAGGTAGTTTAGAGACTTGTTTATGAAGAACCATGACTGGGTTATGTAGTTTAGAGACTTGCTTATGTAGAACCGTGACTGGATTATGTAGTTTAGAGACTTGTTTATGTAGAACCGTGACTGGATTATGTAGTTTAGAGACTTGCTTATGTAGAACCGTGACTGGTTTATGTAGTTTAGAGACTTGGTGATGTTGAACCGTGACTGGATTATGTAGTTTATAGACTTGTTTATGTAGAACCATGACTGGATTATGTAGATCGAGACTTCTTTATGTAGAACCATGACTGGATTATGTAGTTTAGAGACTTGTTTATGTAGAACCGTGACTGGATTATGTAGTTTAGAGACTTGTTTATGAAGAACCGTGACTGGATTATGTAGTTTAGAGATTTGTACATGAAGAACCATGACTGAGTTATGTAGTTTAGAGACTTGTTTATGTAGAACCGTGACTGGATTATGTAGTTTAGAGACTTGTTTATGAAAAACCATGACTGGGTTATGTAGTTTAGAGACTTGTTTATATAGAACCATGAGTGGATTATGTAGTTTAGAGACTTGTTTCTGAAGAATCGTGACTGGATTATGTAGTTCAGAGACTTGTTTATATAGAACCGTGACTGGATTATGTAGTTTAGAGACTTGGTGATGTTGAACCGTAACTGGATTAGTTAGTTTATAGACTTGGTGATGTTGAACCGTGACTGGGTTAGGTAGTTTATAGACTTGTTTATGACTGGGTTAGGTAGTTTACAGACTTGGTTATGTAGAACCGTGACTGGGTTAGGTAGTTTATAGACTTGGTTATGTAGAACCATGACTGGGTTAGGTAGTTTAGAGACTTGTTTATGTAGAACCGTGACTGGATTATGTAGTTTAGAGACTTGTTTATGAAGAACCGTGACTGGATTATGTAGTTTAGAGATTTGTACATGAAGAACCATGACTGGGTTATGTAGTTTAGAGACTTGTTTATGTAGAACCGTGACTGGATTATGTAGTTTAGAGACTTGTTTATGAAGAACCATGACTGGGTTATGTAGTTTAGAGACTTGTTTATGTAGAACCATGACCGGATTATGTAGTTTAGAGACTTGTTTCTGAAGAACCGTGACTGGATTATGTAGTTTAGAGACTTGTTTATATAGAACCGTGACTGGATTAGTTAGTTTATAGACTTGGTGATGTTGAACCGTGACTGGGTTAGGTAGTTTATAGACTTGGTTATGTAGAACCATGACTGGGTTAGGTAGTTTATAGACTTGGTGATGTTGAACCGTGACTGGGTTAGGAAGTTTACAGACTTGGTTAGGTTGAACCGTGACTGGGTTAGGTAGTTTACAGACTTGGTTATATAGAACCGTGACTGGGTTAGGTAGTTTACCGATTTGATTATGTAGAACCGTGACTGGGTTAGGTAGTTTATAGACTTTATGTCGAACCGTGACTGGGTTAGGTAGTTTAGAGACTTGTTTATGAAGAACCATGACTGGGTTATGTAGTTTAGAGACTTGCTTATGTAGAACCGTGACTGGATTATGTAGTTTAGAGACTTGTTTATGTAGAACCGTGACTGGATTATGTAGTTTAGAGACTTGCTTATGTAGAACCGTGACTGGATTATGTAGTTTAGAGACTTGGTGATGTTGAACCGTGACTGGATTATGTAGTTTATAGACTTGTTTATGAAGAACCGTGACTGGATTATGTAGATTAGAGACTTGTTTATGTAGAACCATGACTGGATTATGTAGTTTAGAGACTTGTTTATGTAGAACCGTGACTGGATTATGTAGTTTAGAGACTTGTCTATGAAGAACCGTGACTGGATTATGTAGTTTAGAGATTTGTACATGAAGAACCATGACTGGGTTATGTAGTTTAGAGACTTGTTTATGTAGAACCGTGACTGGATTATGTAGTTTAGAGACTTGTTTATGAAGAACCATGACTGGGTTATGTAGTTTAGAGACTTGTTTATATAGAACCATGAGTGGATTATGTAGTTTAGAGACTTGTTTCTGAAGAATCGTGACTGGATTATGTAGTTTAGAGACTTGTTTATATAGAACCGTGACTGGATTATGTAGTTTAGAGACTTGGTGATGTTGAACCGTAACTAGATTAGTTAGTTTATAGACTTGGTGATGTTGAACCGTGACTGGGTTAGGTAGTTTATAGACTTGGTGATGTTGAACCGTGACTGGGTTAGGTAGTTTACAGACTTGGTTATATAGAACCGTGACTGGGTTAGGTAGTTTATAGACTTGGTTATGTAGAACCATGACTGGGTTAGGTAGTTTATAGACTTGGTGATGTTGAACCGTGACTGGGTTAGGAAGTTTACAGACTTGGTTAGGTTGAACCGTGACTGGGTTAGGTAGCTTACAGACTTGGTTATATAGAACCGTGACTGGGTTAGGTGGTTTACCGATTTGATTATGTAGAACCGTGACTGGGTTAGGTAGTTTATAGACTTTATGTCGAACCGTGACTGGGTTAGGTAGTTTAGAGACTTGTTTATGAAGAACCATGACTGGGTTATGTAGTTTAGAGACTTGCTTATGTAGAACCGTGACTGGATTATGTAGTTTAGAGACTTGTTTATGTAGAACCGTGACTGGATTATGTAGTTTAGAGAGTTGCTTATGTAGAACCGTGACTGGATTATGTAGTTTAGAGACTTGGTGATGTTGAACCGTGACTGGATTATGTAGTTTATAGACTTGTTTATGAAGAACCGTTACTGGATTATGTAGATTAGAGACTTGTTTATGTAGAACCGTGACTGGATTATGTAGTTTAGAGACTTGTTTATGTAGAACCGTGACTGGATTATGTAGTTTAGAGACTTGTTTATGAAGAACCGTGACTGGATTATGTAGTTTTTTGTACATGAAGAACCATGACTGGGTTATGTAGTTTAGAGACTTGTTTATGTAGAACTGTGACTGGATTATGTAGTTTAGAGACTTGTTTATGAAGAACCATGACTGGGTTATGTAGTTTAGAGACTTGTTTATGTAGAACCATGACTGGATTATGTAGTTTAGAGACTTGTTTCTGAAGAACCGTGACTGGATTATGTAGTTTAGAGACTTGTTTATATAGAACCGTGACTGGATTATGTAGTTTAGAGACTTGGTGATGTTGAACCGTAACTGGATTAGTTAGTTTATAGACTTGGTGATGTTGAACCGTGACTGGGTTAGGTAGTTTATAGACTTGGTGATGTTGAACCGTGACTGGGTTAGGTAGTTTACAGACTTGGTTATGTAGAACCGTGACTGGGTTAGGTAGTTTATAGACTTGGTTATGTAGAACCATGACTGGGTTAGGTAGTTTAGAGACTTGTTTATGTAGAACCGTGACTGGATTATGTAGTTTAGAGACTTGTTTATGAAGAACCGTGACTGGATTATGTAGTTTAGAGATTTGTACATGAAGAACCATGACTGGGTTATGTAGTTTAGAGACTTGTTTATGTAGAACCGTGACTGGATTATGTAGTTTAGAGACTTGTTTATGAAGAACCATGACTGGGTTATGTAGTTTAGAGACTTGTTTATGTAGAACCATGACCGGATTATGTAGTTTAGAGACTTGTTTCTGAAGAACCGTGACTGGATTATGTAGTTTAGAGACTTGTTTATATAGAACCGTGACTGGATAAGTTAGTTTATAGACTTGGTGATGTTGAACCGTGACTGGGTTAGGTAGTTTATAGACTTGGTGATGTTGAACCGTGACTGGGTTAGGTAGTTTACAGACTTGGTTATGTAGAATCGTGACTGGGTTAGGTAGTTTATAGACTTGGTTATGTAGAACCATGACTGGGTTAGGTAGTTTATAGACTTGGTGATGTTGAACCGTGACTGGGTTAGGAAGTTTACAGACTTGGTTATGTAGAACCGTGACTGGGTTAGGTAGTTTACAGACTTGGTTATATAGAACCGTGACTGGGTTAGGTAGTTTACCGATTTGATTATGTAGAACCGTGACTGGGTTAGGTAGTTTATAGACTTTATGTCGAACTGTGACTGGGTTAGGTAGTTTAGAGACTTGTTTATGAAGAACCATGACTGGGTTATGTAGTTTAGAGACTTGCTTATGTAGAACTGTGACTGGATAATGTAGTTTAGAGACTTGTTTATGTAGAACCGAGACTGGATTATGTAGTTTAGAGACTTGCTTATGTAGAACCGTAACTGGATTATGTAGTTTAGAGACTTGGTGATGTTGATCCGTGACTGGATTATGTAGTTTATAGACTTGTTTATGTAGAACCATGACTGGATTATGTAGATAGAGACTTGTTTATGTAGAACCATGACTGGATTATGTAGTTTAGAGACTTGTTTATATAGAACCGTGACTGGATTATTTAGTTTAGAGACTTGTTTATGAAGAACCGTGACTGGATTATGTAGTTTAGAGATTTGTACATGAAGAACCATGACTGGGTTATGTAGTTTAGAGACTTGTTTATGTAGAACCGTGACTGGATTATGTAGTTTAGAGACTTGTTTATGAAGAACCATGACTGGGTTATGTAGTTTAGAGACTTGTTTATGTAGAACCATGACTGGATTATGTAGTTTAGAGACTTTTTTCTGAAGAACCGTGACTGGATTATGTAGTTTAGAGACTTGTTTATATAGAACCGTGACTGGATTATGTAGTTTAGAGACTTGGTGATGTTGAACCGTAACTGGATTAGTTAGTTTATAGACTTGGTGATGTTGAACCGTGACTGGGTTAGGTAGTTTATAGACTTGGTGATGTTGAACCGTGACTGGGTAAGGTAGTTTTTAGACTTGGTTATGTAGAACCATGACTGGGTTAGGTAGTTTATAGACTTGGTGATGTTGAACCGTGACTGGGTTAGGAAGTTTACAGACTTGGTTAGGTTGAACCGTGACTGGGTTAGGTAGTTTATAGACTTGGTTATGTAGAACCATGACTGGGTTAGGTAGTTTAGAGACTTGGTGATGTTGAACCGTGACTGGGTTAGGAAGTTTACAGACTTGGTTAGGTTGAACCGTGACTGGGTTAGGTAGTTTACAGACTTGGTTATATAGAACCGTGACTGGGTTAGGTAGTTTACCGATTTGATTATGTAGAACCGTGACTGGGTTAGGTAGTTTATAGACTTTATGTCGAACAGTGACTGGGTTAGGTAGTTTGCAGACTTGGTTATGTAGAACCGTTACTGGGTTAGGTAGTTTAAAGACTTTATGTCGAACCGTGACTGGGTTAGGTAGTTTACAGACTTGGTTATGTAGAACCGTGACTGGGTTAGGTAGTTTGTAGACTATATGTCGAACCGTGACTAGGTTAGGTAGTTTATCAAGTTGCCCTTTGGCAAAACTTGAAGTAAATTTATATATATATTCATAAATTTTTAAATATTTTAATTTGATTTTTTCGTTTGCTTAAATATATTTATCTGTTTATACCAGGCTCGTTGAACACTGTTGAAGTGTTTACACAGTACACACTATATTCAATTACTATTTTAAAACATATCTCTATGTTTACTACGTTCATACCTATTTTCTTCATCCCTTTCATGGAGCTGTTGTGAAGAAAGAGGTCGTACTTCAAAACAAAGCAGTATATCGGAATTTCTTCCATAAAATACATGTCAAGATTGGATAAATTTACCGCCTCGCATGAAGAATACAATCGGGTTCGGCGTTCAAGAAAATTATAGATGTGAAAACCAATCCGGAAATAATTTTCCCGAAATCCAAGACTGGGTTATGTTATAGACTCTACCGTCCTATCGCGACCAACTAACTTTAAATGGCCAACTCATTTTATCGTTTTATAAACCATTAAAAATGTTATATCATTCCGGAATTTCTTTATCCCAAGACGAACTACTTGCATAAAGTGTTCTCTATTTTTAAAGATTTTGACAACTTAACATCTGTTATGAAAATATCTAAATATAATTAACCGATCTACTTACCGACGCTATTTTTTAACCCAAAAACGGAGAAGGCAAACAAACCTTTAAGCTTATTTTACAAGTGGCCTTATAGGAAACTTTTAATGACCACTAGACGTCTTCTTTTAAAAATATATATACACTTTAAACTGTGAAAAGGAAAGATCGTGCAGACACTTGACGGAGATAGACGTGCATCTTAAAGAATGCTCTATGTCAACCCACAAAAAATCTTCCTTTGCATAAAACGTAGATCTGCTGGGGAAATTTTACTCATCTTTTATGAAGGTGCTTTTACATCGTTTTTACTTCGTTGACTTTAGACGAGGCATTTGATGTAACGTCAAATAGAGCTGGGGGACGTTTTTTGCTCGGCGCGTCAGATATACAGCTCAACGCACTATTTTTAATTGACATGGTTTTTCGCACAAATTAAGTTACATTTTTCTTGCAATATAACTTAAAATTATCGGGTTTCAGAACGAGACATAACTCTTACATTTAAAAGTCAATGTTCTTAAAGAGAATTTGTTTATAAATTGTATTATGTTAAATGTGTATGGTTCTATCAAAGGTATTTACAATATATCATATCATAATATATCATCCCAGAGCATATAAAAATCCTACCAATTATTATTTGTAAATTATGTTTAAAGTAATGGAATATGATCAAAATTAAGTTTTAAAGGATTTGTTTTAAATGCATTTTGGTGTCATGTTACACAATTGTGCATTATAACAATGTGACCTTAATTTGTGCGAAAAAACCACGTTAATTTAAAAAGCTTTATGTATAACAATTATTATTATATAGTGCCCCGTGGGGATCCGGGTTAGAATAGGTCTTCAGTTCCCCCTTGCTTGTCGTAAAAGGCGACTAAATGGGGCGGTCCTTCGAATGAGGCTGTATAAACCGAGGTCCCGTGTCACAGCAGGTGTGGCACGATAAAGATCCTTCCCTGCTCAAAGGCGTACGTGCCGAGCATAGGCTTAAATTTGCAGCCCTTCACCGCGGCAATGGTGACGTCTCCATATCAGTGAAATATTCTGGAGAGGGACGTTAAACAATATACAATCAATCAATATTATTATATAGTCTATTTATATTCTCTTCATTATCTATGCAAGCGCAAACAGTTTATAACACTTTTTATTATACCTCTGTGAATTTTTTTTCTATTTAAGGAATGAAGCTTATTTCAACTTATATTTTACGATATAACATAACTTGGGGCAGTTTACGCTTTATAAACCGCGAAGCGGTATATAAAATAGCGTAAACTACCCGACGTTTTACAGAGCTAAACTCGGAAAGGAAAACACTAGGGTGACAAACTTTAATCTGGGCTTTTTCTCAACGACTGAGGTTCGTGAATGAAAATGGTATTGTCATTTAGCTCTCAATGTCTTGTTTATATTTTCAGACATTTTGACACAATTTTTATATGACGTTACCACTCAATTTTTCTGCCTTTGTGACGTTTTGATGCGTTGTTCGATGTTTAGTTGCTATGCATTCAAAGAACAGGACTAATGAAAACAGGTAGCACAGTCCAAATATTTTTAAAAAGTGGCTGGACGTTTTGTTTGTATTTTATGTTAATATAATATATCAATATAACATATTGTTTATTTTATCATCCCATAAAGAAATCCATTAAAAAACTAGAAATCTCTCTCTCTCACCCTCTCTCTCTGTTACATACGTGGTGTTAGGACATGCAGGGTCTGCAAAAAAACATCGTTCCTGAATATTTAATCCTTGACAAGCTGGGACTGTAAAGTGAGAAATTAAAACTCAGTATAAGTTTTACCTGATACATGACAGCAATTACACTATATCTGCAATTTGAAATGCGTCAATTCTATGAGAATTTTCTGACACATTACCTTTTTGATAGTATACACAAGAGCATTAATTATATTGTGCAGGTTTCCCTACTACATTTACAAAAATTAAACAAACGAAAATATAATATGCAAAAAAAGAGAAAATTATTATATTTTAGTCCCTTTAACTCATAATAGGTTGTCCCTATATTTAAGGATATTTAGCATCATCTTTATTTTTTTAAATTTTTCGTAACGAGATTGCCTCGAAGATATGTTTTAGTTAAACACCTTAATTGCTGTCTGAAAATATTACATTTTTCTGTAAGCATTGCTATTTCTAAACTTACATTTATACAGGTCGGAAAGAAAAAAATGGTCAGAAGGACATCCATGTATGAAATGAAGACAGCTGGTTTGATCCAGATTCCGATTTTTATAAACCTCTAAACAATTTCCTGTATGCAGAAAAAAATTAAGTCATTTAGTATGCATTTTTATAAATTTGAAAAATGTACGCACAAGATAATAAATACCCTTTTCAAAAAGTCCAGTTGCAGAAGTATAACAGAATTCCACCAGAGTTGACCTTTCGTGATTAGGAACACAGACGTACTGACTCCGCCCATTCTCATCCACACCACACCCCAGTTTGGTGGCCGAGGTTGTGTACTCTGTCTTGTTACCGGGACAGGAGTCCACAATGTAACCAAAGTCTGAGAAATCAATCCATGCCATTTCTCTGAAATAAATCATTGATATAACACAAGATCAAAGTGGGCATTCGGTTGATATTTCAGCGTATTATTAAATTAGAACATAGACTAGACAATTTCAAGAATAATAAATATTTTTTGTACTTTCTGCCAAATTGTATTTCATTCAATAGTGTATGTACTTTTAACACTACACAGAAACGTCAGCGTAGTCATAGACATCAGTCTTACAGGGATATACAGATACATTTTTTTTTCAGAAAGACGCGACTACATGTATACATATGACCCCTCGTTTACACAAAGCTACGATTCTACGGCGAACCTATCGAGCCACGATCTGAAAAAAGTTTTGGATCGGGGCAGATCGCAGTCGATCGGCGTCTAAATAGAAGAATTTGGCATATTATGGTCTTCGTAATGTAACGTTCCAACTGTCGTGCGGTCAGTTACGCAAGTCACGATAAATTAATCGTAGTTGATCGCAGAGTTTTTATTGAATTTTATGCCACGATACGAAGAGATGCGTATAGGTACGTTTTCATACGTTTCGTTACGCTTTTATGCGCTATGCCTATGATGGATAAATTTCATGTGATGCGATCTCTGACGAGCTGACTACCGTTCGGAAAAGATGAATTACGTTCCATAGGATTATCAAGATTTAGTCGAAAAAGGACCTTGATCTGTCACGAATATCACGATTCGAGTTCTCGATTATGAAGGAACTCCTGCGTTTTAATACGTACTCATACGATATAGTACGTTCATTGCGCACTCTTGCGCTAATGTACGATAGAATAACACGTTCGTTGCAATGTATTTCATGATCAGGATCAAGATAGAACACGCTTTGAGCTACGATTGTACCCGGACAGACATATAAAAATCTGGCCATACTGAGTCCATTTTATTTTATCTATTGAAAATTAAACAGTACATAAACATATACGAAGGGTTATCAAAAAGTTCGTGGACTGAGGCTATGAAATTAGCACTATGTATTCTGTGCTCTCAAAATTTATAAGAAAAAAAACAAGTACTCTGGATGCATTAACTTCTCCATAGCCAGTTTAAACATTTCCTAGGTCTATACCACTTTTTTCAAGGCCAAAGCTTTATAGAATGTTGGAAAATGAAACCCCTCCCCCTTTTTGACGTCATTTTCAAGGACTTATTTGTTTAGACATTCCATGTCAAATTAACGATAAATTTTCATAGAACTTTCAGAATGAATTGAAAACTTCATATTTTATGGAGTTCCAACATATACCTGAATTAATAAGATTTTTGGATGTCAAATGTTCAAATCAAAAGAGTTTTTCTTAGTTATGCTTCGGTCGATAAAACGCCATATTCGAGGTAGCGCCGCTTGGACATACCATAGGTTACAAAAACAATACTAATTTATTTAAAAATAAAAATTATGATTTGCGGTTTATGTTATAGATAGAAAAGATGATGCTAACCAGATATTTTAAAATTCATTGATGTACCTAAAGCGGTTTTAATTTTATGGCGCCAGTCCACGAACTTTTTGATAACCCCTCGTACAATCAATAATAATGGCAGAAGTAAAGGTTGATGACAACTTCATAAACGTGGTGTTTCTAGTGTAACTATGGTCATATGTTATTGCTGTCAAAGTATAGTATGAGCAGCAGTCTTTTTTTTTTTTATCTTTTTTTCACTGATGTTGCCTCTGATCGAACGCGTTCAAGTTCAGAAGAAGATAGGATCTCCCCTCTTTCTATTTTTTACCTGTTTTATGTGGCATCTTTAAAATATTTTTCATAAACTCTGATATTTTTTTTCAATAGGGAAAGTTTGAGTCCCCGATCTCAATCATGGCGCCAATCGTAATAGTGGGAACATAGCATACGACAGTGCTACGATGTCACGACGTCAAATTCGTTGCTATCACGCTTCTACTAAGATGTTACACAGACTGTTGCCGACGAATGGTCGTGTTTACTGCGTTTACGCTAAGCTGCCACTGAAGACCATACTACGACGCTACACAGACCTAGATGATACCGCGAGGTCGCTACGGTGTTGCCGATCATATTACGATTGCATTAAGCTTCTAGTACGATCTTGGCGATTATGGAAATACATCGTGCATCCTCAGATTTTTGTGGTACATTTTAGCAACAGTTTTATTGCGGCCTTTACCTGAAAATTCTCAATTGCAAATGAACATCAAGTATAGTGTCACCCTTTACATATATTTTACAGATGATGATTGGTCAAATATCAACGCTATAAGAACAAACTTCTGCCTGATAGGTCGTGATATGATCGGCGTAAGGTCATTGTAGGTCTTTGTAGGATGTTCAGGAACGTAGAGAGATCGTCGTAAGAACGTAGTACAAACGTAGAGGGATCGTTGTATGAGCGGACTTGTTTATTTCCTACGCTCTTACGGCGCTTTTACTACGATCACGAAGATATCTCTACGATGCTTTCGCGCTGCTGGTACGATTACGGCACTTCTACTACGCTCCTTTTACGACTTAACCCCGATTGATGTTGGCCACGATCCCGCTACGCTTGGTTTGAACATGTTCAAAATAAGCGTAGTGAGAGCGTAGAGCTCTCCGATCATGAAGACCCTACTGCGATCATACTACGCTTATGACGACTCCACAACGTTTCTCCTGCGATTTGTTACGATCGGCCACGCTTTCGACCAAGCTTTGATCGTAGTAGAAGCGGTGTCTATGAGTGAACGGGGGGTAACCGACTGTAATCAAAACATACTTTTCTAGGTCACTAAGTGTATACCAATCCTACACTCTCTAGATATACCTTTACATTTTACTGAGAGATTTTGAATGACAGACTGAAGGAAAGGCTATAATAAATAAAACTGATAAATAAATAAATATATTGAATGTGCATTCGATCAGTTAATATTTACAAACACTGATACCTAACGCTGAATTGTTGTACGTGTAAACAATAAAAACACACTGTGTCCGTCTCCATACATGTAAAATGTAATTGTCACTAAAAGGTAGAGAGTACAAAAGAACAATATGATGTAAGTACAAGCATGCAGATTTTTACAATGGCCAACAGCGGCCGCCAATTTTGATATAAAAATATTGTCCTTTGGTACAGTGTCTATAGAAAATTGCAGTGGATGGATTCTCCATATTGGAGTGTCAGAAAGTGCAAATATGAAGACTCTTGAGCCAGGTGGTGCAATGGGTGGAAAATCTAGTTAATTAAAATTATAACTCTTGCTTATAAAATTTGTTAATACAAATGGTTATTTTCGATTAGAAACTGTTGGAAAGCATTTCTGTCAATATCTTTTCGAAAAAAAAAAGAAACAGTTTAGGAACAATAAAATGATATTCATTCCAAAAATGAGCTTTATATATCAGAAACAATAGGGGCATACAATGTTATATTTTAATATTAATTTCGTTAGATAGCAGATGCTGAGAGCAATTAAAGCAAACATTCAACATTTGTAAAAAAAAAAAATGCCCCGAGCTGCTATCCAACGCACAGATACTGATGACAGATTCATTTAAATTTCATGGTTTCAAACTGAAATGAATTGACACATCGAGACTCTATTTTGGAGCCTCAATCTTCCGCATTTTACAAATAGGCTGCTATTTGTAAAAAAAAAATGTCCACCAGAGAAAACGATTAAAATTCTTTCATGCGATATAAAATGCAGACACATAAAACAGTTAACTTGAAGGAGATAACGTCATGGTTAAACTACAAGGTCGAGATCTTGTCTTTTAGACTTTCGTTTTGGAAAAAAAATTGTAATTAAAATGCATAAAATTTCGCGATAATGAGCAAATTTATCAAATCATTTGTAACAAGAATAAAACTTATCTAAGTTTATCAGGGATACCGGTACATGTATGACTATTGTATGTAATCGGTTCTGTCGTTGGTGAACTTTATTTTTAACAATGCGCACACGGATATGATCACTACAAAAAAAATCTGATACGCTACTCTCCTCATGAACCCTTGACATACGGCGTTGATAAAAATTGGGTTTTTTTTCTCGAGTTTTTATTGGGATTCTGTACACCTGGTCGACCAAATTAGCAGTTGTTTTTGTAAAGGACGATATTTGCTTTCGGGATACTTCTTGACTCTTTCATCTCGGAAATGAAAAACGCAAGTAAACAACATGCAATTCAATGAATAGCTTTGGTATCATCCAATATCTCCTAAATATGTAATTAAGAATCTATATTGAAGCTCCAATTTGTACTATAAATAATAAATAAACATAACTCAATTATTGCTTTATAATTATTCTTGAAAAGAACTTTGATTTTCTTTTTTTGAAACACGTGTCTTTATTTCTTTTCGTACCTGATAAATTCGAGATCATGTGACGGAAAACAATCCCGTCTTTTGACTTCACCGTACGCTAAGAGATCATAAGGAGAGCAGAGTATCAGAAACCCTTCGCTAGCGAAGATGACCTCAGCGCGCAACATTACTTTTGGAGGTTGAAATGGCCTGTTTTTTCTACATTTTAAAACTGGATCGATTCTCTGACGACGAGCCTCTAAATCCTTTTATGACATGAAAGAGACGAATTACGTATTGAGTATACCCTTCTTCTAGATATCCTACATGTACTGTAATACATGAATTTACTAGAGCAATTTTATACTGTTTTTTACACTTAATAATTCATATTTTCTTTATTTTCTAGCATTTTCCAAAAAAGTCAATTTAAACACAATCGCTGCTGACGGTTTTTCCTTTCTAGTATTATATGTTTCTTTTAAATACAAAGGGTGATCAAAACGTTTGCAAACTATCTTTATATTTACGAACCCAAAAATCAGATCAGAATTATATTCGGAACTCATATACTCATTTATCTCATACGTGTTGGTGAGGCAGGCCATTAGATAAACTTTTGCTTTATCCACGGGTAGATGCTTTATCAATAGCACTTCCGGTTTTGTCATGATCCCTCGCTTCAAGATTTTATTTTATTGAAACTTTTATTTGTGAAAATTGT